TTTTTTTCTGGTTTACAAGATTTCATGATGTTCCATAACACTTGCATGTGCCTTCGAGCAAAGCCCAGGCCATATTTTCTTTCGGTTTCATTTTCTATGCATTGTTTGGCTAGACAGCAGCGCTGTAGTTTTGATAATTATACTCCCTGACAAACCGCACGCTTAAGGTACAAAGATTCTAGTCTTGGCCATAAGGTTTCCTAAAGGTTCCTTTCATCTCTTGCTACTGTCATGAATATGAGCTCTCAGTTCACATCTGACATGCATGTAGATAATAAGTCCTGGTAATCTAAAGGCCTTCACTCTGCAACGCTGTTGGCCGATGTAACGATCCAATCAAATATCACATTCTCCGATACTCTGTCTTGCATTGAGTCTGTCGTAGCTTCCTTATGGAATTCCGACTATGGGAGTATACCCTTCCATAAAAGGAAGAAGAGTGATACCTGGGCCATGTACGGTGCCGTCCGAGTCCCATATAATGAATAAGGTAAAAGGAACCTAATTTCTTTCCATACAATACAATATCAGCTGCCTGATGTCCCTTAGGCGCTTTAAGAATACCTAGAAAAATTCTCTGTACGTATACACACACATCTTCAGAGTACTATCCAACGTTGGATAGACTTTTGCCTATCCAGTAATATCGAATTCCTTTGTAAGTTTGTCTGTCCTTTATCGTAATGGAGCCGATATACTAATAGGACAGATGCTACACCAAGAATCTATATGTTAACTATACTAGTATAATAAGCTAAGCAATAGGGTACCTGGTACTCCCTTCAGGGAGTTTGACTAAACCCCAAAGAACACCCTCATAATAACTATATATAATGGCACATATTCACATCCACAGAATATAGTATCTATCGTGAGTGTAAGGTATGCTGAGTCTCAGCTCTGTATATTGTCAACCGCCACGGGATGGATGTATAGGTGACACTGTAGATTCTCTGTCCATCATCATTTATTCAGAATATCTCTTAGCCTTCATTTCCCAGCTGTTATTGTAACAAAATTCGCTATAAAGGGTTTCTGTTTCTCGTCAGTAACAGTAACAGTAACCTCCGACTATAGAATGAGTGGATAGAGTAGCTAGTATAAGATCACCTCTATTCGACCTATTCCCAAAAAAAAAAAAAAATAAAAGGCAAAAATAACCATACAACAGCATTAGTATGACTATGCTCACTCAAGACCAATTGCTGGTGTCTCGCCGCTGTTAAATCAACCCTTCAAGGGTCCTATAGGGACTTAAATACTAGTTTATCTTCATTTGAAGAAGTACAGAATATATCTTGATTTATATACCTGCTAGGACCGCTATAGTATTTGTCATTCCCACTCGGCTAAAATAACCATATGGTACAAGGTCGCGCCTTGAACAACCCGCTTTCTAACAGTATTGAATAATACGTTGTGTTCCACTTCCATCCAGAGTTATGATGGCAGCGAGGTGTTGTGAAGAAAAGCATAGTAGTAGTTGTATATGTGCCCCTGGTGCAGAGAGGGGGGGGGAAGAAAAGGAAAGAAAAAGAAAAGCCAAGATTGACACCATCTATCTACAGCACAGCCTCACAATAGAGACCACAACATGGCTATCGGCGTTTCTTTGAGGTTTAATCATAGCTGAACGACGGCCCGAGCGCTGAACAATCATTGGTATCGAGTCGAGGCTCAGCTCATGCATTCTTACCCAAAAGTGGGGACAGTCGAATGGCAGTGTATAATGTTCGTATTAGTGTCATGCATGCATATTGAAACGCGTCACGTTACGAAAAACCCATCTTACCCCCGACTGTTTCAATTCTCCTCTCACTGACTGGGTTACAGTCAATCCGTCTCTCGTCCCTCGGACAAAAAGTGTGAAAATGTTCCGGAAACTGGTTGATTGCCTTGGCTGTGGCAAGGATCACAGCGATCGTGGTGGTGATAATGGGCAGCAAGTAAATGCTGGAATTCGTCTAGACTTAACGGCCTTTGTGAGATACTTATGAACGCAAAGACTTTTCGAGCAAGCTCTAATTCGTCAGGCTCCAGCTTGCCAACAAGCCCCAAAAGCAAGTCTTCGTAGGCTGCTTAAAGATCACACGGCAAGTTCTTTAGCCTTTTCAGTGCGTCGGCCAAACCAAGTGACTTGCTTAGCTGCCCGAGCATGAGTTTGATCCAGAGAAAATTCCCTCTGACTGGCCTCGAAGGGTTCTGAAGACTTTCTCGCGCAAACTCGGTAAACGAAGGATATCGCATTGATCAATCCCATCTTCAATAACCCTGTCAATGTCACCTTTCGTCAAAGTAGGTTTCATCTCCATTTTATGGCAGATGGAGTTCATTCCTTGAAATGCATGCTGCCGGCCAAGTAAAATGAAATGAAAGTTAAAACGAGCGTCAAGGAAACTAAGGACCCTCTGAAGTAGTTCGATGACTTTATCCACACTCTCATCGACACCATCAACAATTCAGTAAACTGGTTTCGAGACTAATGCAGCTATAGTGTCGAAGGCTATCCACATGTCAGAGGTTGTAGGTTGCCCTCTCAGCATCAAATCGTGAAGGATAGAAATAGCCTGTTCTTCAGGGGCAATTTCCACCAACTGCCATAGAAGCGAACGAATTAGTCCACTTGATTTTAGCTGACTGGCGTGCATGCCAGAGAATGCGAAGAATAGCGCAGATACGTTATCATTCCACATGCAATCGACAATCGAGGATGCCAGAATGCTTTTGCCACAGCCGGGAGGACCATGGATACACATAAGTCTGTCTGGAGCTGATATGAGAGGGGCTGCTTTCCATCTACTGAATATCGGGTTTGACCAGATCCAGTCACAGGTCCCCAACAGCCTCTTTCGGATCTGGTCCTGTTGGGTCTCTCGAACGTTTGGTGGTTTCAACCACCTTTCACACCGCATTTGTAAATCTTGCTGTCGCCTTAGGCGAGTTTCTGGGCTGCCATTAGTGTGCAGAAATTCAGACTATGACAAAATTCTCCATACCTTCTGCGGCCTTCTTCAGCAGTGTCGTATTTGAAGCTGTACTCTCATCAATCTTTCTTATATTTTGGGAGACTGTATATAAAGGTCAGCAGCTTTCTAGGAAGTATAGCATTTAGTCATGTAAGCGCATACCGGTATCTAGCACACGAGCGACTATAGGGGTTAATAATTCCACATCGGATGGCTCGATCAGTAAGAGGAGTTCTTTCGCATATGCTGACGCCACGGCAATTGCGCGCTTTCGCCACTGATCATTTTTATGGGAATCGGAGTAGTCACTGATTCCTCGGATAACAAGGCAAGGGAATTTATTCATCAAAACCGCCGCTTCCATTTCGAAGCAGAATATCGAGTTCTCGTAACGTTGGTCAATCTTGTCCCTTTCGATACCGCTCTTGATGACCATATTCCCAGATGCAATAATACCATAATGTACGTATGGCCTGTACTGAAGCTTGCGGGTGTTTCGTGGAATCAGAGCTTTTCTGTCGCAGAAATCGCAAGCTTCAGCTTCGGGACCGTGCTCGTAATCCGCCTGATACAATAGATCAAGAGCTACATCTTCTTCTGGATATGCGTATTCCTCACCCAACTCCTCGACAATGCTCAGCATGTTGTTTACTGGCTTCTTGGGTCTCGCGTGGTATGCCTTTAGAAGGTCAACTGCAGCCAGAATTTTGCGAGGTGGTGCGCAGAACCAGTCTTTCCTCTGCACATGACCGTTATTCTTCAGCTTCCCGTAGTCGTATTGTACAATTCCGGTGTAGGTCCAGTAGGATAGCTGGCCACAACATCGCCCAGACGGATGTCCTTCTTTTTATTTGGAACACCTCCTCCGATTCCCACCAGGAAGGCGAACCTAATGTTCTTGAACGTGCGGCGCATGTTTTCTGCCACAATTGCAGCTGGGCCAGTATCCAATTGTGCTCCCGATAGACAAGCCATCGCAACATTGTGTTCGCCGATCTTGCCCAAATGATATGCGTTGGTGTCGTCTCGAGGTGTCGATTGAGGCCTCCCATGCTCCTCATCCAGCATAGCCATGGCCACCATCAGCTCTTCATTCAAGGCAGATATCCATCGGACTGTATATTCGTCGTTTGGATAAGGAGAAGCCTTCATGTTGGCTGGTTATATTTTGACCTCAGCTTCATAATAAATGTGGCGGCTGTGTGGTATTTATCTGAAATGTAGTGATCACGAGTTTTCGCGGGGGAAAATAAATACCACGAGGCTGAGCGTTCTGATCTTGCTATCCAAAGCTTGCCTGTGCTCAGCCTCATTAAAGTAAAATACAGTAGAGGTGGCAGAACACTTGTATTGCAACCATAATTTTGGGGCTTTTTTTTTTTTTTTTTTTCAAAGTAAATCCTAGAAAAAATTACCGATTATTCTGTTAAAGCCACCTACTCAAATGTCTTGGTAGAAACATCTTATGAAATTCCATATGGACCAATTTCTCAGTCCGAATTTCTCATAGACGGGAAAATCATGTTCCTATTTGGTAGAGATAGAGCCAGGAAGGAAGGTCTTATAGCACAGACAGAGTAGCAAGGACGCTACCTGGAGAAATGTCTTGATAAATATATATCACCTGATACGTTCCTCATCAACAACAAACGTGTAGTGCCTCAGAGAGACCTCTTGAAGATGTTCCTGGCCATAGTTAGAGAGCAAGCCTAGATAGCACAGTGCGAGAGAGTGAACAGTTGTATAATGATCGGCCATGGAAGGGAGGGCTTGTCAATTTTGATTAATGGTAACAAAGGCCTTAAGGGTGAAGCCACCCTAACGCTCTTAATCTAAGCTGACTGCTGCCACAATATTCGGCAGTGACTCTTCTGAGTACAATCCTCCTAAAGTGGTCATGCAATGCATATTGACTTTTATCGGGTACCTTGAAGAGAGCAAGGACACGAGCATGAACAATGTTTGCGATCTATATAGACGCAACATATCCGCCGTCGTGTGCTTGCTGCTAGAAGCGGCTCTGAAACATGAGTGATCTTGCGGCTGTACAGCCAGATTCGAGTTTAATCCAGGGATACAATTGACTTCAAACAAAGTAAAGTCCTCCAAGCCATGAAAATAAAACCAAATATGCTAGGATCGCGTTATATCCAACAGGCCCACCGATGCTTGGTAAAACCCTGCCCCAATTATGGGACCGTTGAGCAAACGGATACTACCCAAGGTCACCAAACTATTTAATTGGCCCCGCAAGAAAGGGGCACCTAGGGCTTCTTATTAAATCCACACACAGGTGTATGTGCATTTTCATTGGCTAGAACGCTCCACCTCCATCGTTCCGGACACCAAAAGAAATTCTCCACTGATTAAGCAGCAACTCAAGCATTTTTGAGTGAGAAATGAGAAAGAGATGCATTAGCTTAGGAGGAAATAGAGCTATCGATAGCCCTTTTTAGTAAAGAAAGACGGTGACTTTATTGTTGTGCGTCTTGTTGGGTTATCGTCCCTGCTTTAACTTGGACATCAAAGTACGCAAACCAGAACTCCTGGAGAAAGTTTAGCGGGTGCTCCACTGGAGTCGTTGGTGGGTGGCAAGTCGGACGATGTATTTTTGGAATCTCGCTCCCAATTGAAGACGATGTAACGTGGGTTGCAATATCTTGAGGTATCTCTAGTATTGCTGTTTTAGGAACGGACATAGAACCTGATATATTGACCGAAAGGTAGATACCGGAAAGCTCGGAAACCACATGTTCGAACCTGGGCAGACTTGTGGATAAACACCAGGTGTACTACCGGAGAAGAATTTTCGTGATCGACTATAATTAGACCAGCTGATTAATAGCAAAGAGTATAAGTTATGTAATGCGTATATTGGGCATCTAAATTATCGTAGCCAGGATATCATTAACTAAGCACATCGCAATAGGGTTATCATCATAAATCAAATCATATCTAAAACCAAACGCCACTTGACATCGCTGACACGGCCAGGTACATTAATCGCGGCCGCGTGCGTCATGAAAATCATCATCTATAGGAAGCCCTCTAGGACATTAATCATAGACGAGCGCTTTTCGGGATTATTCAAGAGTTCATCCACGGCGCGGCTAGTCAACAGATTACTCAAGCCCTTGTTGGAATCCCCGAGCAAATTACTGAGTAAACCGCCGCCGCCACCACTGCTATTCGTGTCTGAGTTGTCGGTGAGATTGGCGAAAATATTGGTTCCGTCGTCGTTGTGGAGGAGGCCGCGTAGCGTGTTCGTGATCAGGCCGCCGAGGGGCACTTGCGCCGTCATGGTTAGGTTTCTCATTACTTCGGTGTAGTAGGGGACCTCGACGCCGTCGTAGACGACAGATTTACCGACGGTGTCGAGGGTGAGGTAGCCGTTCTTGAGGGAGCTGGCCTGGGTCTGCAGGATCGGTACGAGGTTCTTGATTAAGACCTTGAGGTCCATAATGCCGTGGATCGGGGATGAGTGGTTGCCTGGCTTGAGGATGAGGTTGTCGATGGTTGCGTTGCCGATGACGAGGTCTCCACTTTTGAGGTCCAGGATCGTTGTTCCCTGTTTCTGTTAGTAAGTCTCTATTGAGTTTCGTTTGGATGCGACGTACGATTTCCAAGGTCATGACCGATGGGTTGGGCAGGGTGGCGTTGGCAATGAGGTTGGTCCCGTCCTTTCTCGGAGGGAGAAGGAGTTGGGGGTCCGCGACGGAGAAGCCAGCGAACGAGCCGAGAGCTGGTACGTTGGTTAGTCTATTCTTGGAGTATGGGCCATCATGAACATACTATTTTGCTTCACGTCTTTATCCATGGTGACATGATTCTTCAGTTTGCCGAGGTATGCGGTGGTTTTACCGTTGAGCGATAGCGGGGCGTTCTTCTCGAAGACCACGCTGTGGACGTATTTTTTCCATTGCTCTACGTTCAACGGGGTGAATTGGTTGTCGATTCCTAGGGTGGTGTTCCCGTCGATCGTTGCTCCATCAAGGTACACCTTGGCCCAGGTACCGTTGCCCTTTTCCTTGCGGTTGAATAGACTGATCGCTATGGGCTCGATGCGCACAGGAACACCGATGGGCAGTTTCAGAGCAGTCTTCAAACTAAGCATAATCGAATCCGGCCGCGGCTGCATGACGCTCGTCTCGGTGACGACGAGCGACGCATTATCGAGCACTCTTTGGGCAATGGCCGGGATGATGACCGTGAAGCTGCAAAAATTAGTCAAAATCTGAAACGTAGTTGGGGTGAAAGTGGAGCACCTACAAAACGGGCAAGAAAACCACTAGGAAGATAATGCTCCAAAAAATGTAGCAGCACCAAAATCGAGCCCAGTGGCGGCGTGCTCGCTCAGCCCTCGTCTTCTCCCTTTTCTCTAACGAGATGGTGTTTGCCGTCTCGACATGTTCGATTGCGACGCCTTCGCCATCGTCTTGGGGAAGAGGACCGCGATGGATGCCCAGGGCATATTTGGCGGCTTTGGAGCCGAGATAGGATTGCTTCTCTTCCATGGCTTATACCCAATCGCTGTCCACGGGGAGCAGGGGTGGACACGTCGGACTTGGAGGGGGGAGGGGGGGGGGAATGAAAATATATGGTCGAGGCGTGTATGATTTAATATATGGCCACTGAGTAGATTAATGTTCAGATGTGCTGTCCTAGTTATTTTCGCCTTCGGGGGTTCGAACACCAAGGGGTTAATTCCGCAGAAAGCCCGGTTTTGACCTGGGTACCTTCACTCCGCATGGATCGACAATGCGACACTGTCGATCGCAGTGAGTGGCGCGTCGGGGCCAATGATGGCGACCTCATTTTAGACACACGAGTTCACATGCGGAAGTTGGATGAGGATCGGCACGAACTATTGAGAAACCGCGGTTGTTAGCAGGGGACCTAAGCTTCGGAGCAGGTGGTGGATCCACCTGCTCCAGAGATTAAAACTTGGGTACGGATTTATTGCCTCTTTGAGATGCGGGGGAAGTGAGTAAAAAAAGAGGGTCACTGGGGTCACTGGGGCCTGATTTACATGATAAAGGGCAAAGATAGGCGAGTTGATGTATGACAAGCCTCTGGAGGCGAGGTTGTCGTACTTCAGACGCATGTGTTGTTGTCAATGAGTCGTCGGTGACCTTGTAACCCTAAGTCGTCCATCGCGCAAAACACCCGCGACAACCCGTGCAAAATCTCCGACCTTCAACAAGAAAAAGCCAAACGTCCCCCTTTTTATTCTCCATCAAACGTATAGTCATCATGTCGTTCGATGAGAAGAAATCCCCAGACCAGATTTCCCAGACACAATCGGCCTCGTCCGATTCGAGTCTACTGGAAGCCCTCGATCAACTCGAAATCCTTCCCCAGATCCTGCAAGAAGGCATTCTATTTGCTGGATCAGGATCCGCTCTGTTACTCCAGGCGGCCTTCCCCGGAATCAGAAATCGAACTAGTGATACCCATAATGCCAGCAACGGCAACAGCAGCAACCTAGCGACAGAGCTAGCCGACGCCCTCCAGGCAAATCTCAGCTACATCGCTTGTCTGGTGTTTGGCACACGAGAAGAAAAGAAGACTCTGTTGGACCTCATCAACCAAGGACAACCACCTCTCCGGGGGAGTGAGAACTTCTCCTCCCACCGACCGACCCAGCTCTGGGTCGCAGCGACACTCTACGCGACCGCGACCGATTTCTACCAGCGCGTCTACGGCCTCGTCAACTACACTACAGCCGAGAAGGCATACGCAGAGTTTACAGTCCTCATGCATTCCATGGGCCTACCGTCGGGTACTTGGCCTGAGAACCGACAGGCATTCTGGAAGTACTGGGACGACCAAATCGAGCAGTTGACCGTCACAGCAGACGCACACAAATTTGCTCAGGACCTTCTGCACCGCACCGATTACCCGCGCTGGGTGTCGGTTATGAAACCGTTTCTGCGGGTCCTTACGATTGAGATGTTACCACCACGTATTAGAGAGGCTTACGGACTTAAGTCGACATTTAGCACTCGGGGATTGTATCGGACCACCATGGGGTTCTCGGTAGCGGTGTACCCTGCATTACCGACCTCTACACGGGGATATCCACTGCGCTATTATTTGCAAGAATTACGAAAGCATTTGAATGTTGTGTAGATATTTGGTACTTGTGTTCTTATCTTTTGTCGTAGCGCGCCCACATCATCCAATCGTGCTTGGAGCAGGATCTGAATGAAATTAATGAGACAAACTGGAGTCAAAATCTCTGCCATGCACGTGCGTCACGATTTAATATAACCTACAGATTAATAATGAGCTAAATGTCTTGTTTTGCTCTGGAATCCCTGTCGATTTAATTTGAACGATAAGGCCAAATGAACTATGCGCGGCACATTACAGGGATACGAAACTAGACTGGGATAAGAAGTGAGAGACGGAAAAAAATAAAAAATAAAAAATAAAACATACATTTCATGTCTCTAGATCGCTATATGAATAATTAAAAAGAAAAAAGAAACCCTAGGAGTCCAAAAATCCATCTAGGCATGTAGGGCATTCGCATAAGAACATAAAGCCTATGATAACCATCTAGGCATCAAAAGTGCTGCTTTCGTAACATTATTAAACCAAGGATCCCAGTAGTCCAGCCAATAGTTTCGAGACATTATCCACGAGCTAGGAAAATTATTAATATTCACTCATAATCATGTGTTCGATGCCAGCTTACCGGTGACGCAGCGTCAATCAGAGTTGTTGTCTCGTTGACAAATTTCGGTGTCAAGAGACTGTCGGCATTATCAACGATACCATTCAGTTTATCGATGTTCTCAGTCGAAAGAAGTTTCTGTAGGTTCTTGGGAGTGTCTCCGCCCAGAAGGACTGCACCACCCTTGACGATGGTTTGGATGTCATTGAGAGTTTCTGTGCTCAAGAGGTCCTTGACCGCGTCGATGAGCGCAGGCAATTCCGAGAGGAGACCACCATCAGGCGCAGGAGCTGCTACCGGGTTGGGTCTCGGAGTCGCAAGGGCGAGAGGGGCGGCAAAAACAAGGTACTTGAAGAAACGCATTTTTGTGCTTGTTGAATGATATTCAGGGTCTGAACGAATGACTTCTGGAGTGTACGAGATCTTGAAGAGAGATGCTGATCTGTGGAAAAGATTACCGACTACTGTGGTTGCCCAAACTTATATGTAGCTATGGAGTCCGACAAACTTGTTTTTTTCTATGAATACGAAACAAAGGCAACCCCGCCTGCACCTTAATCTATGGCGTTCCAAATTTCCAGCTGGTGCCCCATACTAAAGTCTGGACAGAGAGGATATGCTACCTAAAAGTGTATCCATGTCTGGATGGCAAATACTACGCACGGTTGAATCTAGCCTCTGATTCGACAGGTGTTAGTTGTTCTCAAATCCCGGTCTGGACTTTGAGATCGTCGATTGCCTTTTACTCTAGTCGTTGTTTCGCGTTGATGCCCGCTTGTTGCTTCCACCCGAGGCTCAAGTAGGGTTCTTCCCGCCTGGAAGATCCAGCTTTCCCAGAAAGAAAACCCCGTCCATGTGAATTTGCCTCTACACCGGTTTCGTATGAGTCAATGGCTGTTATACCCCTCTTTCGCTACCAAATCATTCTACGAATTAATCTTCGCAAGGATTCGGTGATAGTATCATTCGGGGCTGGGCAAGAACTGGAGACTCCAGACAACCCCGCATGGGATTAGGGCTTCGCTAACTCCTGCAACTGTCGATCACTTCGGGGAATACCCCTCAAGTCGTCCAATCAGATCCTCCAATTTATATGGCATCGCGATGGTTTCCTTTTTCGCACTCGGGCCGAGAGATACATGTGATACTTTTTGATCTGATCTCTAACCTTTATCGATCTGTTGGTGGTGAAAACCCTCAAAACACCGTTGCACTGCGATTAACATATCGATTCGTATCAACGGTGGAGTCCATTCGGAACCGACAACCCTAGCCTAATTTTAGTAGGGCCCCCAATCGACACCAAAAAATTTCGAATATGGGGTAGGTCCCGATCAGAGAGAACCCGTTCGGAGTCGATATCCGCTTTCATATGATTAAATCCTAGGGACATACGTACTATCAGGCACCGCATGTCCGGCCGAACATATTAAAAGTCCCACTCTGTATCCCCACCCGAAGCTTGTTTAGTCTGTGCTTGCAGCCAGTCTGTCGTATTCCACTTGGTCAATTAATCTAATACGACACTAATCACAGGGACCACAAACGCCACCGCCAGGGTTGCAATTGAAACTACTATGTAGAGACCCAAGAAAAAAAATAAACAATTCCGTCATTTCCATAGCTTATCATCTCACTTCGGTCATAAATTCATGTCGATCACAACGCCAATGCTACCCCGAGCACCCCCAAGGCCCCCATCCCACCCATGACCAACCCACCGGTCGGCTTAGCTGCTGCCGCTCCCATTCCTGATGATGTTGTGGACGATGCGCCACCGTCTTTCGTGCTCTCGGCGGTAGCCTTTGCAGGGGCGTACTTGCCCGTCGTGGCTGTCAATGCACCGTCGGACATTTCCTTCTTCACCTCGGCCATGTAGCTTTTGACGTCAGTGGGGAGTGCCAGGTACCATGAGGGGGTGGTCCCGGCATCAATCTCGCTGGCAAGGGCACTTCGCTGAGCGGGAACCACCAGCTGAGCCAGCGCCGAGGGAGGCACATTCTTAATGATCTCCGGGATAAGGGAACGTGGAGGCGGAGAGATGTTATCCAAGTTGGCCGACCCTGTAGGCATCGTAAGCGTGATCGATTTCCTGTCTTTGTTAGCACTTTCAACTCTGGTAAACATCAAAACAAAGAGACATACAAGGCTTGACCAAGCGCAGACCAATTGACCGACTCGGTCGATGTCGGCGCAGCATCGCGCTTTTCGGGCGCTGCCAGCACCGTAGCAGAAAGGGCAGCGAGCAACCACACGAACTTCATTTTTGCGACTTGGTTTGATAGACAAAAGGGACTGGGTGGGCAAATATGATGAGATGAGACGATGGGCGATTGGGGAAAGTTAAATAGTGAAACTCGACTCTTTCATGTGCCTGGCAGGGCGGAGTAATAATTCATCTTATGCGAAAGTTCAACTCAACTTGTACCCGAGATCCGGAGTGGAGAGTCTGTGTCAATGATCGTCGTTGAGCCGAGTAATAAGTGAATGGCCCTAACTTTCTCCTCTACGCTACGACGGTCTGGAATCTGGAATCCGTTCCCAGGTCCTATTTTTCAGTGTATTTTGTTTCATCCTCAGTGTTAGCCCGACAGTCAGTCTCTGATTCTGTTACAGCTTGCAGTCTTGTGTTCTGTATGTGAGGCATCTGTCTATTTTTTGGGGCGATTGGGCGAGATGGCCCTTTTTTGTTTGATTGATAAAGGGTCCCTTCCCCTACAGCGTCAATATGTGACTGTTTGAATTGTTACCTTTACGCAGAATGGACTTCTTCCCGTTCCTAGTGTTCTATATGTGGTTTGAATATGCACCAGATGCAACCAAGCATGTTCCTGCTTCGATCCAAAAGTCAAGCACCAAAAGGTAAGATCAACCTAGTTACTTAATATATGCTTAAATGGGTGATAGAAAGCCAGGGTCTAACAGATCTACAGAAGCTCTCTAAAGCAAAAGAAAAATAAACGGGGATTTTCGAAGCTAGTCGCATAGAATCAACCTCTAGAAGACCGAGATAGGATTTAGAGCAACTATTGCTCGGCCGGCACACTGCACCTCGAAAGCTGCCAGCGCTAGTAAAGTTCCGCGGCCCGAGAGCTTCTGGTCGCAGGACGTATAATTTGGGGAAGCGATGCTTGGAATAATGATCGTCGGCTGGGCCGATTACTTATCACCACTCTCGAAGTCGGCGTATGGCTGGCTTTCGACCCTTGCTGTCTTGCACTATTAACATTAATGGTCTTTGAGAATTTTGTCACTTGCGAACTTCGAATGGAAAATGTCACATCCTGATTGGCTTAGGAAAGGGTCTCGTTCTTTTACACATTTCCATGTCGTTGAGTCGCGAATTATTTCCTTGCCGGTGCCTCACTGGTTGGGTGATACTCTTTTGATAAGGGTGGGTTGCTATGATAAAGAACTATAATCGCCCATCTCATCTCAGTGAATCTTGCGTTTTGGTTGTCAAAAGAACCTAAATCAGATATGAGATGTAGAGAATCATGTCTATAGATATCAAACGGATAATGACACGTCCTGCAGAATCTTATGCCAATTCTTTTGCCCTTCCTTATGTTTTCCCGTCTTCTACTGATTTTAAAGTCCCAGTGCCGTTGCCAGCGCGATGCATAGCCAGGTGTCTGCCAATACTGAGCCTTATTCGATAAACTTAATTGATATTGTACAAGAAATCAGAAAAACCTGTCTAAAGCTCGTTACGATGCAATAGAGTAAAATCCGCAGGAGGAAAACAGAACATCCACATCACTCCATTTAATAATAAAGATATGTTTCTAGATAAATCTTGAAAATATGAGGAAGAGGTTGGTTGAAAACCTTGTTCGGGTGGGCGGAATCGCCCGAGCGCTTGAAGAGCTGCAGCTCAAATACAAACGATGTCAGGTCTTCCTGTCCGTGACCACGACTCTTCTGCAGTATTTTTTAACTGCCTCGATGTAGCTGGTGAGAATTTTCACAGTCAGAACGTGAACCATTGATAACTGGGTGGCGTTGTGCATTTGTCGAACAGACATATAGTGCTTCTGGGCTTCGAAAATCTACTATTCTGCAGATAAGCTAGTGTACGAGCCAGAGAGCAATATGTTCGACGAACAGCGTCTAGTTTCCACCTTTTCACTCTGAACCTCCTGATGACCTAAGAGCCCTTGATCGGCTGTGGTATGGATTTCTCGATCTAAGTCGGTATCGGCCCGGTACTTCATTGTGCTCATTTACCATCCTGTCCTTATAGGATTCATTGGCCTTTTTTGATTACAGCAACTATCTGGTTGACGCTCGCTCAGTTAATCAACATCAGGATAGTGTCCCGGAGTATATTCACAAGCACAGAACTGATGGCATGACGTTTTCTGGGTTCAATGTGCTTGGGTATTTCGTCGCTTGTTCGTGCCCACTTGATTCAGGAGCACTGCGTCGAGCCGCTCTTCATATCCTCTTAATATCAGTTGTGCAGTCTAAGGAGCTGTGAGATGAATCACCAGCAGTATCCAGCGCAGATAGTAGAACACTGCAGATGGGACCACAAGTCTGGTAGGAAAGTTGTGGCTAAGTATTGGTCAATAGCGATTAAGAGGTGCATATCGCCGTACAGCTATTGATACCCAGGCTCACCATGGGCGACGTAGCTCTTTTCGTCGAATGTGTTGTGTGTGGTTGAAGATAGGCATTGGTCGCCTAAGTTGTGCTTGATGCAATTGATAGACAGCAGATGAATTGAGAGGCTATTTCAGAATGCACATCTGCACCGGTTGACAGAATTGCAAATATTGTGAGGCTGGCTCAATCAATAATTCTTCTTTCTATCCCATGCATACCAATCAACAGTTTTGTCAAGTTGGATGGGATTTTGAAAATGTCGCTGTAGGCCTCGGGCAATAACGGGAGATGCGTATTGTAAAATAGCCCCTTTACGTCATTTACTGACTATGGATACCGTAGGATATGTATTTTGCTATGGTGGGATGAAAGTATCGAAGATGCGGTCCACCACTCATGCGTGTCGAACAGCCCGTCCGAGGGGTCGTGTGAAGCCTCGTCAAAGCAAAGGAAGGTCAATACGTCTGGCTGCCTCATTCGTTAATAGGGGAACCAGGGGCCGAAAGTCGTCCTCGACGGTATTACATTCTTTATGAGCCGCCACCACATGGTGTTTGTCGTGAACGAACAAGTCGAGCTCTAAATAACGTATCCCAGAGTTGCGTTATTGTACCGAGTGCCGGCAGCGAGGGCAACAACAGAATCCCTAGTTTTGAGTCGAACATCATGTGCGCTGTATAATCAGCTCACTCTGAGATCATCGCCCGTTAGGGGTGATGCTCTGCCCGAAAGAAAGAATAACGACATAAGCCAAAGGACATTCCCTTGTCCTTCTATCCTATCCGAGCAACCTATTGGTTGCAACTAATGCCGTTGGAGGTTCAGCGATATCGCCACAGCCTGAGCTGTTCCACACAAAAGTGTCGACGACATGAAGGAAAGGTTGAAAGACATCCTTTCGTTTCTTTGGAGCCATGTGAACCACCGCCATATAGAACAGAAATGGCTTATCGCGGTGTCGTGTCCTTATGAAACAGGTTTTGATAGGGAGTGAGCGGCCGAGAAGATTGACCGCAGTATGGCTTTGACTTCCACAATTGCTGTATCCATCGACTTGCTTGCCGTTTCTTCGTCGCGAACTCAGCTTTTCGTCGACCGCCTCAGGGTATATATATATCCACTCGTTGACGAGGTGCATCTATGATGTGGGGTTCATGATCTTACAAAGAAGGTCAACTTCATTGACATGGAACTCTGCAGACCATGGCGCCATTAAACCCACAGACTTTTCGCTCAAAACAAGATAGAATAATGTAGTTAACCGGTACCCCCATGGCATTTAGTTGGAGGGCTGTGTTGGATTGGGCTTTGGATCGGGCTTGGGTGGCTTGGGCTTTGGTGTTTCAAGACCGGTGGTATCGTATCCTCCTCGCCCCATGGTCACAGGTCACCACCAAGTATGTGAAACAAGAACTGACTTGACAAAATGAAATGAATGAAGCACTTGTGTAGAAGGCGAAGGAAAGAATGACTTGAGGAAGGCGTCTCAGAACAGTTGAGAAGGACCAATTTATATCTTATCTGTCGGTTTGATGGGTCAGTGGTGTCTCGGCGTATACCAATATTCACGAAGCCTTTGTTTGAAATGTACAGTCATTTTCTGTTTCATTCGGGAGTCAACCGGCGCTTTCAGGAGACAAAGGCAACAGTGACGGTTGACACCACCATTACAGGAGCAGTTGGTGGAGCCGTGCAGTAATGGGCATTAGAATTAGAGACTGACAATACAGTAAATGGCCTTACTAGTCACCGAAGAATCCGGTAGTTAACAGAGATTGGATAATATCAGAAAGTTTATTCGGCGTAAGCCGGAGTCAAGACTAAGATACCTGTTCAGTATATGATCTCTGTTTCCCCGGCCCTTCTTTAAAAGCCTATACTTAGGTGGTCCTACAAAGAAGAATAAGTTAAAAAAATAAAGAAAAAAGAAGAAGAAGAAATCTGCAAACAGTCACAGGGTTGAGCATAATTTACATTTAATTATCCTCCCAGTCAGCAACAAGTTACTGGCAACGACTTGAATAACCATGGTTGCTTTGAGGGCCTTGATTCGACTAAAAAATAAGTAATCCTAAGAGATATCACAAATACACTAACCTCAATCAATAAGACTTTACAGATATACTCATTATATAGCAAACCTGTCTATAATCTATAAAGAGTAACCTATTGATATAGTAAAGATATCTTTACCTAGATCTAATTACAAAAGCCGCACCCGACTGAGAGCGCCTGCCGCGTCCGTTACGCGCGGCGATGACTGCGAACAGATATTCGTCGTGCAATCAACCACTGCAAACTTGGTGTCCGAGAACTTGTCCCCGGAGGGTAGGGAGGAAACGACCTTACCAAGGACAAGACTCAGACGGCAGAAACTTCGATTGGATTGACTGAGACATAGCGACGAATAAATGGATTAGAAGAGTTTTGTAGGTTTATCGCCATAATCGTTTCTCGTGTAAATACAAGGCCAAAAGCGACAGTTATTGAAATGTTGACTTTTTGGTAGATGACTTTGGGAGCATGTGTTCAGATTCTGGACAGCCTTCTGATACTGATGCAGAAGCTACCTTGGGACACCTCTTTCCTCTCGGACCTTATGCCCTTACTCGAGGAATTAATTGAGCGCCAACTCCCATCTCCTAACCTCACGATCTACCACCTCCCATGCTTTGCCTGCTTGACAATAAACAAAGTAGTAGCCGTGATGGTGAACTTACAGAGACTAAATTGGCACTCCTGACACACATGGTAGTTAGGTTGCTAGGTGATTAGTACATGGAAAGAAAGATGCTTGTCCGGTCACCTGGTTTTGTTACCTGGCTTGGAAAGTAGAATAACCACAATCATGGTTCCTGCTGTCTGTGAAGCCACCCATTAACTTGTCGTGTTATTGATCTTAAGTTATTGATTCTGCGCAATAGGTTGATCCAAAGCGACTTTATTTGTTTTTTTCCTTCATTTCAGTCCGTACGTAAATCAGATCCTATTCAAATGGATGACAATTGGTCCATGATGTTCGCACTCTAGCAGGAACAGTAGCATATATATACCATAACTGTAGTAACATGTGTCAGTTTAATTATATATAATAGAAACTCGTCAGGTATCCATCTACACAAATTTCTAGTCCACCTGACGTGGCTGGTGTGCGACGAGGCTGCTTCTCATCTGCTCGCTTCGTACATGTCGCCAGCGGCAATTCAGCCTAATTCCTCAGCAAACATATCCAATGACCCAAAAACCTTGAAATTCAAGGAGAGAAGGGAAATACGATATAACAGACTTTACTGATATTGTTTTATTCTGAGTGGCATTGAGGATCTATCGTACATCCTGACCCTATCTTGAGACACCGGTTGCGTCGAGATATGGCCACATGCCGACGCAAGTGGTTTTAATACTTATCGGGCAAAGTCTGAATACATGTGCAATCGGTAAAAAAAAAAAAAAAAAAAAATCAAGGGTCCACCCTTAAGTCCTTTCTCAGATCTTGCTCATCATAGTTTGCCCCAGAGCCAGTTGCTGATAAGCTTCTTCTACCATACCCTCAACGATCTTCTTTGCAGGTAGAATTTCGTTGACGACGGCTGCAACCTTACCCATGATGACGGGATGAGCATTCTCAAGGACCTCCTCGTCGTTTGGCTTGGTCTCAAGATCATGCTGGACCGCGATAATACCCTTGCTCTGAAGCTCAAGCAACTCCTGCCTGCGCTCTTCCTCCCACCGATGAACGTAAGGCGAGGCACGGGTATGCATTGGCCGCCCAGAGAATATCGTTGTCCGAATAATCTCGCCGAATTTCGTCTGTTGCACCGCCTTCTGGTGGTATGCCGAAGCCCCGGACTCTTCTGCCAGGATAAAGCGAGTTCCGATCCAAACAGCTGATGCTCCAAGCATCAGAGACGCAGCAAGGGACTGGCCATTGTAGAGACCTCCGGCGGCAATCAAGACAATTTCCTTGCCCGTGAACGTGCTGCGCTGGCCTTTGATGGCCTTTGCTACGGCAGGGATCAGGATCACCGTAGGAATATCACCTGTGTGGCCACCTCCCTCGCCTCCTTGGGCGCAAATCAGGTCCGCGCCATTGTCTATTGCCTTTTGAGCGTGGGTTGGGTGCCCCACCATGTTCATGTAGAGAACACCGCCCCTGTGAAGTCGGTCCACCACATGTTTGGGCGGCAATCCCACGGCGGACACGAACAACTTGGCTCCACTTTCGATGATAATCTCAATGAGCTCATCCAACTTGCCGTGGGAATAGTCATAGCTACAATCTAAAGTCAGCGATCGCCGTTGACGGTCCGTTTTGATACAAAACAAACTTGGTTTTTCTTGCGTCAGCCCCCAGCTTGGGGATGAGCAGGTCCACTCCGAAAGGGGCGTGCTTATCCACAAGGTGGCTCTTTAGTTCCACCAGGGCCTCCCGAAGAGCTTCAGGTGTGTATAGGACTCCTCCAATAACGCCTAGGCCTCCAGCGTTGGTGACGGAGGCGGCCAATTTGGGTGATGCGACTGCGAACATGCCGGCCAACACTACTGGGTGCTTGATGCCGAGTAGTTCAGTTGCTGAGGTCTTTAGTGCTGCTCCATGTTTTGCGTTAGTACTTTTCATCTTTTCAATTATTAGGGAACATAGGCATTTGCGGCTTACAAGCTTGGGGGGTTGCCATGATGGTGTATATGATCGTTATTATAACAAGTACTTTCACTGCCATTCATACTACTCAGGCGCCTTTTGCTATTCATAAATACTCTCGCAGACTTCGGCCGTGGAAATAATTCAGGGTTGAGGGGTTATGGGGTGGGACCGAGGTTTCTTGTTCAGTTGCCGATCTGAGAGGAACCGAAAACGCTTATGATAATGTCGGCATCTGGATACTGTACCACCTACTTCCCATTTGCAACTACGTATACTATTTATTTCCCTGTCCCACAAGCTCCCCTATCAATAAAGGCTGCAAGCTGGTATAAGCTTTCTTGTGAACAGTAGATAACTGTCAGCACTCTTGAGTGATCTATGGTTCTAAAGGGATGGCTACTGAGCCGAAAGGCCTGCAGTATCAAGATCCAAAAAAAAAAAAAAAAAAAAAACAGAGCAATGTGTCTGGGACACTTTGACTTTGCCAAATGTTGGTATTTGATAATGAAGGCACTGCGAAGCGGTACCAGTAGTAGTCTGTAGTAGCCTCTAACCGGGAATCGGGGAGTAGATACAAATGGCGTGCTGGTGTTGATCATATCAAATTGCGTTTCTGCCTTGAGACGTAGATCAGCCGTAGCCATCCCCTGTGTCACTAGAAGGGCAAATACTCCGGCCATGAGTGATCTAAACTGTAGCTAGTCGATCCCCAAGTATCATACTAATTCCTTCGCGGCCATGGCAAACGCGCGAATAGATAATGCGATAACTTGTGAAGCCCGCTCAAATGCCCTAAAGTCGAAGGCCACCACTCTGTGGCCAATCTCTCGCGAATGATTTTGAGTATTAATTTGTGCGAATAGTTTACTGGTATAGAGAGCACCTCGGTAGAATAGCCTACCGCGAAACATGGCAATGCTGAAGATCCGTTCTCCAGTTCGTCGGGCTTTGCATAATACCAGAAATGGGTACTTGGGGAAAAAAGCTCGACTAGGCAGCTTCATCCCGGAGCAATACCCGACCATTGCATAGCCTATATGCTCCTTGTATCTCTGGATTATGTCGGCTGTGGCTACTCATAAATCATTGAAAGGGCCGCTCATACCCAGGCCTACGACATCGCATCACCAGATAGTCATTGATTTTTTCGAATGTCTATTGAACAAAACTTCGACTGAATAAATTATAGTCGAACTCACAGTACCGAAAAACTCATATCGCCACGGCGCCACCTCACGCGTGGGAAACTGGAAAGAGTCTATCATTCCAAGCTTCCCGCCGCTCCAGTCCCGGATGGCTTGTCGGTCCATCAGTTCTCGACCCAAGACATTCCTGACATGGTTGCAGCCGACAAGCCCGTTCTCGAGGACCTGAGAGCCCTGTACAAGAAGTTGCCCTACGGTGGTCTCCGAGCTTAGGCTGCTGTAGGTGCGGCTGCATTGAAGGAACGCAACCACTTTTCCAGACTGAGTGGGCAATACAATAGGTGCGGAGATAGGAGATAAAAGCCGACCAGACGAAGTTAACTGGTAAAGCGAAACCCCTCCTCTGGTACTAATTCACGAAAGCACCCTCTTCATCCATTGTCGCTAAATAAGATGGACTCTGTATATACCTGATAAGCCCCTATTCCATTTAAAACAGGAAGTTATAGTACAAGGGACGAAAGACAGAAAGCTAACCTGACCTCGGCCAGAAATGGGACATCGTTGCAGAAATACCCGACCTAACCGGCAAAGTGGCCATTGTAACGGGTGCAAAGTACTGCAATCTACCAAGATGTAAAGGAACAATAGCTGATCATAAAAATAGCTCTCCACAAGGAATCGGATATCATATCGCCCACCAGCTTGCTATCAAAGGGGCCAGAGTATACGTTGGTGCACGAAACACAGAAAAGACCCAAAATGCGATCGATGAGATGCTTCAGTCCACGCCCTCTTTGGATCCTGGGCGATTAGTGCCGCTAGCTATGGATTTAAATAATTTCCAGCAGGTCCATAGCACGGCCAGAGGTATTTTGGAGAGAGAGGAACGCTTAGATATCTTAGTCAACAATGCTACGCGGTGAGTGACTGGTGTCTAACAAATCCTTGTCAACAGTATTTTTATCGGCAGTACGCTAATTCCCGATTATCGATGCTAGTATGTCGATGCCCTTACACAAGGACCAACATGGTATCTCAATATCTTTTGGCACGAAGTACGTTATTTCACAAGGAATAGTTGCTCGTCGGGTTTATGTACTTATGAGCGTCAGCTTTCTCGGCCCATACCTATTCACCACAGAGCTACTTCCTCTTTTAAAGAAGACTGATCGTCTAACACCTGGAGTTCGAATTATCAATGTGAGTATTGTTAACTCCCACATAATGACCTCCAGGCACAATTTAGTCTGCCACCTTAGCTGACAAAATCGCCTCCCTAGATCTCTTCAAGGGTCCATCTTGCCCTTCCGACCGGCGTACGATTCAATTCTCTGGGTGACTTCAACCGAGACTTTGGCTCCGAGGACGATCATCAAAGCAACCGCCTCCGCTATGGTATGGGTTTCTTTCTTCATTGTACTATCCCTATTCTAACAACTAATCTACATGTAAAGGTCTCTCTAAACTCGCCATGGTACTCTTTTCAAAGGAAATACAGAGACGTGCGAATGAAGATAGAATACCTCTGTTGGCCATGAGCATGCACCCCGGTGGTGTAAAGACCGGTACGTGCGCATCCTGTCCATTGCCTTTATTATTCCATATAGCTTAATCTTTTCATCTTACAACATATAGTCGGAGTAACTAGATATCTCGGTGAGGGGAATGATAGACTCAAGGACCTTTTGACACCCCTGGATGGAGCATTGACACCACTTTTTGCCGCGGCGCATCCACTGCCGTTCATCGAGAGGGAAAGGTATGGAGGGGCGTATTTGGTGCCCTTTGGTGAGATTGGGGATACTTCAGAGGATGGTGAGAATGAACAACTTGCAAAGGATTTGTGGGGTACGAGTGAGCGAGTCTTGAAGGATGTCCTCAACCCGGGTCTGTAAAGGTATCTACTTACTTTACTACTAGATGCGGAGAACAGACTCGACAAATATAGATATAAATTTACCACAAGTAGGAAGCAAGTCAAAAGTAGGATTTATCAATTCCATCTAGTATAATACATCCCAGTCATAAAAAGTACATCCCATAACCATGTAACTCCGTAGCCCAGTGATATCAACCCAGTCGCAGTGGCATCACAAATAATGCTAAAAGGCCTCACTTAAGCATGCTTCTGCATATCAAGCTCAGCACCCCTCTGCTTAACCTTGCCCTCATCGTGGACCTGGGTCCACTTAGCCTCCTCAGTGCGATCGCCAGTAGCAGCAGCAGCGACCTTTCCAATACCACCCTGGAGACGATCGGCAGCGCCCTCACCGAAATCCTTCAACTGTCCCTCAGCCTCGGCACCCTTGCCACGCAGGTTCTGATCTTCACCTTCCTTGCGCAGGTTCTCGTTACCGATCAGGTTGCCTAGGGACTCCTTCGCGGAACCGACGGTCTGATCCCAGGCGCCAGTGGAGCGCTGCTCACGGTCCTTGGCTGTCGCGCCAGTGTTGGGGTCAGCAGAGAATGGGCCTAGCTTGGCGGTGGTGTGGCTGGCGTCGTGTTCAGCGGCGGCCTTCTGCTGGGAGGCGTCGCCTTCAGCCTGTGTTCTGTTAGCTTATGCTTGCTAGTGACCGTAAAGGAGGTGTGGTAGTATATACCTTGTTGGCAGAGTTGCCAGTCACGGAACCGACAGCACTCTGGACCATGCCAGCGGCAGAGTCGACGTAGGACTTGAGAGTGGAAGAACCGTTGTCAGACATTATGGCTGTTGTTGTTGTTTGTGGTTGAAGTGGTTGGTTGTGAGGTAGGTAAAGAATTGGTAAACTTTTAATTCTGATTGTGTTTGTTTGTTTGTTTATAATTGTTGTTGTTCTTCTTGGTTGATGATGTCTAGACAAGCCAAGATGGCTGTTTATATAGGGTTGTTCCTGAACCCTCGATTTTTTGTTCCTGGGTTGTGATGATATCATATGACGTCATAGTTAAAGTTGACGCACCACGACGACGTCATGGGCTTTTTTTCATAACCAAAGATGGACATCGGTTCACCTTATCAGTATTCAGTATGCTAGGTTATTCACTCATTGGACAATTGCCATTGGGCTCATATCTGAAGGACCATGGTGGATAAAAAAAGCTCATTGTGGCTGCTGGAAACCTCATTTCGGGACAGGAACTAAAGACAAACCAAGTGACGATTTTTCGATATGTATGACGACCACAAGCTTACGTAAACAATAAGCTAGTCACGGATGGCATGGATACTCCATGGCCTGTTGCCTCGGTTGCAAGCACAACTATTTACTGTCCCAAACCCGCATGCATTCTGCCTTTTTTTTTTCGTATCAGAATGCCGGAATCTATAGAAGATGGAGAAGACGACGAGGGCATCAATCTATAAAGTGAACAGTTGACTGGCCAGAATAGATTATCCACTCTGGTGCTGTTCTTTTAACCGTTAGTAGTCTAGCTCCTGGACCAAGTACTAGTCAAGGCCTTAGGCAATGAGCAGCGCATCTCTAGTCCTGTAAGATATAAGATATTTTAGAAGCTTTGATTAAGACCTTCCGTACCTAAAACGCTGGACGCTCACAAGTCCTTTCACATCGCAGCTATTTATCTATATCGAGCAATGTGTACCTGTAATTTGGGTCATTTGAACCTCGACCCATCGTGGATTTTAATATCTTTGTATAATTTTACAGAAGCTCTCTAAGATGCTCTTGCTAAATATAAATATACTACAAGTACTACGACAAGCTCAATATAAACTTCTATGAAGTTTAAACATCACATGGTCAAGATAGTAACCTGATTTACGTATCGACCTAAGAATAGAGGTGGCTGGCCAGGGGATTCTGTTTAGTCTCTCAGCTCCTGAAAATAGAGGGAATAAGATTTGCGCGCGTCAGGATCCAGATCTTCGGATCGGTCTAGAATAATCTGGGATAAAGTTAATCATAAGTATTCATAACCTTCTAAAAGGAACTAACCCGCTCAAGCTCCTTGTCTGCTTGGACCGAAAAATGTTGAAGAATAATTATTTCGCTTACCGACTCTCATACTGTTAGTCATCAGTCCAAGAAAAAAATCTTGTAATTGGTTTAGCCAGTCTATTGATGCATAACAGATTGACAGCGGGATTCAGACAGCATGGCTGCTTTCGGTTATAAGCAGCGGATGAGACATATTGACTACCAGCGGTTTACTTTTGAGGTTGATCTCACCACTAGGAAGCTCTATCGCTCTACCAGTTCATTTATACATGTAAGTAACGTCAGGCTGCCAACTTAGACCAAATGTCATAGTATCGTAAGGACTCTTAAATCATGAGAGTTGGTATTATCGGTAACAGTACTGTAGCTACGTACTGCTTCTTCAAGTGCCCCGTACAGTCGCTGTTAACGCCATTTGCGGGGCTCTTATTTCGTCAGGGTATCAATGAATGTCGTTATCACAGAAACAATACGTGAATATACTTGGGTCTGTTGGACTCATGAGTCACCGGTAAAGCCGCTTGGAGTCACGAACGTCGTCTACAATGAGTATTCTAGTACAGAGGGGAGGGAGAAAGAAAAGAAAAGAGGGAAAGGAAACGGAAAAAGAAAAAAGAACAGAATCACTTTTCTATACTTGACGCACAATATATGCACGCTGTTAATTATAAGAACATGAAAAGGGCATTCTATCAGCATAAGCAGATAACAATCATCATCATCGCGACATAAGAAAAACATAGAGAAACAAAGACATCTCACCATAGTCATTACAGATCTCTAACCAAGACAAACAAAAGAGACCTCATATGCAATCATCACAGTCATGCAATAATCATCATAATCGTAATCATCATCATCATCAAAGCATGGTACACATAATCCGAAAGATTTCCAAAAACATATATACTAAACCTCCCTTTCTTCAGGACAAGGTTTCTGCAGTCTAGAGGTAAACAAACAGGCGTCCAAAGCTTTCGACCAATCCCAGGTCTCCGGATTCAACCCATCCTGCCCGTTTGCAGCAAGTTGAGCTTGATCCAACCAGTGATCCCAAGCGTCCGTATCCGGTGCGATACGTCCAGTTTTCACCCATCTAGTCGACTGGGTCAATTTAATCGCATTCCATAGCGCCAATCCGAAGCTCTTCTTCTCCCCGGGCGCCGGAAAAGCAGGCGTGACCTCCTCGATATTAAGCGCCGAGTAATCCCAGTGGAGTCTCTCGGGCAAGGCTGCAACCATCCAGTACGCAGCATTGAGTAACAGATACGACGCACCGAAGGCGACTTGCATGCGTGCTCCCGAGTTTCCCAGCGCAATAACTCCGAACATGAGCATCATTGTTCCGAGGAGGGCGAGAGAGCGATACCACGTTCCTGAGATGAGATAGTTGCATCGTTCGGGGGCGAAAAAGAGCGGTCGGGCGACTGCTTCTTCACACTCCACGATTATGAATGCACCGTTCGGGTAGCAAATTATCACGCTACCGGACGGAATATGTTCTGATCCTGTTACACGTTTTCCAAGCTTCAGGGACCATTTGCACATCAGGCCCAGAAGGGACGAGAGGCATGAGAGGAGGATGGTCGCTATCAGTGCCCATCCGTCATTGAAATGGATCGAGAGGCCAAGCAGCGCGATCGACATGGCACAGCCGATGGCGGCGAGTAGGGACAGTAGACTGAAAGCACGAGCCGTGATCAATGCATCTTTCGGGTTTCCTCCATCTTTGATCGTGATTTGAAATTGACGGACTGTGTAATCAGAATCGCTTTTCATCGATTCATCCCCCGGCAGGATGATATGGGGGATGCGGTAGACGTGAGGCCGGCAATTTCCTGAGCGAATGCCCAACACAGTACCTGGAACATCATCTAGACGGAGTGGTCGCGACGGTCTCATAAACGCCTGGGGTGCGGGTAAGAGGCGTGGGAGGAAGGTGAAGGCTGATAATGTCGAGACTTGGTAGTTCACCGATACGGAACCCTCACCCAAAATGGCGAGGAAACCGACGATGTCAAGGTGAAAATCCTCGAAACTGTCATTGAAGAACATGATGGGCTGTGTGGTGTCAGACAAAAGAGCGTGACCTGCGAATATCCTCTATATATTTCAAGGATACGACCGACTGTGAGGTTGTGTTGCGCTCCCCGCGACTCGACAGATGTGGCCGTCCGCTTTTATTTATTTTTCATCTGGCGAGGCTGGACCTCTTCCCCGTGGAGCTCATTATTGGCCAGACGCTCAAGCGCATAAGCGCTTGAAACTTGCAAAGATATCATTGGCAGGTTGTGGTTCATTTGCGCCGGGGCCAAGTGAGGGACTAATTAGGGCTCGTTGATTGGAGGTGGGAAGATTAGGTGCATATGGGGCTGAAAGCTAAGAGTATCTGAGCCAATGGTTCCGACTTGGGGTAATGATTTGCGGGCCGGGCCTTTTCGTGAAATCGGGTGTCCATCCATCTTCCATCAAGAGTCATTATATAAGGCTTTTCTATCAGGTGTCTTTTGCCCTTCTATACCGCCGTCAGATCTATCTGGCATTTAGCTTGTGGCAAAATTTGTGGAAGTTTAGGAGCTCACTCGCAGACTCTGGAAAAGGCACGATGACATCCAGCCATTCATGTCTGCCTGGCCACTTGCCAAAGGTTGAAACTTCCTTGTCCTAGCGATGCTTGTACTTGCGCCATGAAGATTTGCCACATTACAGCACTTATTCGGCCTGATCATCGTCGTTCGCCCCGAATCAAACCCTGGGGCCGAACTTAAATAACGGGTGCGTTTCACCATTTCCAGGATCGCGGCAAAGGATCATGGATTACACCGTATCGCGGCATCCTACTCAAGTTTGTGGAGCATGTTAAGCGCCTAGGTCTAAAAATCAGAGGATGTTTCGAGAAAACCTTTTCCTCCATCATCGATGCTAGTGGGGAGTCGCTATGATGCTGGCTCATGAAATCCTGCAGCAGCCAGTGCAATAATGTATGGCCCTAGGAGAATATAATGGTGGGCGCAGCCTACTAGCTTGATTTGTCTGGGCTGACACCGACCGTTGGGGCTGAGCGATAATTCTGTGTAGCTTGACGTAGTTTAGGCAACACGATAATTGCGGTATTGCACTTTTTCTTTTCTTAACTTTCTATTTTTTTTTTTTCTTTGATATCCTTTGTATGATCAAAAGAGTTCCATGAAAAATCCACCGGAGAGTGGTAACCGAGAGAGTAAAATATCATCAGGAACTGGTCATCGCTAGCGACCTCTACAGTGTGTACTTTGTGCTTCGCAGCGGATGCAAGTGAACTAAGAGACATGTAGCTGTTCTAGCCGTCAACTAATTTCCCACATAAACACATGAATATGAGTAAATCCCGGCCATCACCTTTCGAGATATATTTCTACCTGCAAAGTCTAGACCCTGTACCTCCAATGGGCTGTGACATGCGCGAAGCCGACCATTTCGAAATAGGAAACCCGACCAGATCCATGGAGAACCGCCGATTCTCGGAACGGATCAGATAAGATAACAGGCCCCCTTCGGAGATTCCACGGAAGGCTCATCAGTCGACCCGGAGTAAACACGAATTTCCCGTCACCCGGACATAAGTACACAGACATGTTGGGGCAAGCTAGGCGAAAGAATACGATGGCCTTACCTTCATCGGACGGATATTTCATCAATCCGAGCTCCGAGACTTATCACCGACTCTTAAAACCCAGCATTCGCCCTCCCTGACGCCTAGATTTACTGATGCAAACATGGATCTAAAACACAACTCGGAATGACGCTGATAGTCTTGTCATCATGTTAACCAAACTGCTACTCATCTGTAAGCTCTTCGGACCTATATTCGGTCAGATAGTCGCCAACTTGAGACAGGCGGTTGCAACCCGCTTACACCGACTCACTTACCGTGCTGTCGAGCATCCGCGCAACGTCGTCGTTGTTGGCGCTTCTTTCGCAGGATATCACGCGGCTAAATGCCTTGCTATCTCGCTACCAACTGGGTATCAGGTTGTGGTTATCGAGAAGAATACTCATTTTCAATTGACCTGGGTTTTGCCGCGGTTTAGCGTGGTGAATGGTCATGAACATAAGGCTTTCATTCCTTATGGGCCTTACTTTGGTTGTGTTCCCGAAGGTTCTTATCAGTGGATTCGTGATAGTGTTGAGCGAATTGTACCCGGTGAGAATGGACGTACTGGAAAGGTAGAGCTCGCGTCCGGTGAGGAT